TTCTTGATCTTGTTTAGTGTGGGGACGTCGCGCTCGCTACGGCGAAGCCATCAAACACAGCCCAAGAAACACGGTGCACCCAGGAGGCAAACAGGGTGTTTCTTGGCATGGGTCTCAACTGTACTGTGTGTTCGCCCCCCCAAAACTATGCAAGACAGGAGACCGCTGGGTTCGATTGCTGTTTGGCCTCAACGCCACCTCTGCCTCATGATTCGAGCACCGAGCGGCAGGCAGCCCAGTGCAGGAAATGCGAGGAGCGAGCCTTGCGTCTGCCTTCAACCGCTCGGGTCGAACGAAAGGGGGGCTCAGTAAGGGTGAGGTCAGCGAGCCTGCTCACGCAGCTGGTTTCCCTGGCTGAAGGGGCCCTGGGACACACACACACACACACACACACACACACACACACATACATATATAAATAGACACAAATGAAAGGATTCCCCATATTTTCAAATATTTTGTGGGTTTTTGTCTGCCCCCCAACTTCCCATATTTTCCCATCTTTTCCGGAGAAACGACGATCAATTGTGTCTGTGTGTTTTTCCCTCCTGACTGGCGGCCCTCGGTGCCAGAGGTGTCCATGCATCGATGAGCCGTGCCCGGGCGGCGGGGGCAAGCCGGCCTTGGCTACGCAGCTGTGGCAAAACCTTCCTCTTCCAGTCCCAGGCATCCGACGGCGTGATGTGTTCTCAACGTGGCTCCCCAGAGATCTTGACCTCTACGCTGATCTGTGTTGTGTCGGCCCTTGGGCTGGGCAAGGCCATCCCACGGCACCGAAAAACATCTGATAAACTCCCGTCGTAATTATTTCGCGATGCGGGAATTAGAGGCCTATGCACCGGCGACGTGGGCGTGGAGAAAACGGACCTCGCATCGAGCCGCATCGCTGATGCATCGGCGATGCGGAACGATCCTCCGACCTTTTCCAGGATGCGTGGACAGAACAAGGACAAGCGCCATAAGCACAAAGTGTTGGCGCTCCGCGCGGATGTCTTGGTTCTGCGCCCGACACCCCTCGCTGGCTCGCGGAGCGCGCCAAGGGCGGCGCCCAGGGCGCCGCCGGGGGGGCCCAGCGCGGATCCGAGAAATCCGCGCGGGGCGCCAAAAGATCATGCTTATAGCGTTTTTATTCTTCTTTCGACCAGAAGAATGACGTCGAGCCCATTCCTGGAGGCCTAGAGTTAGGTCGGGCATGTCCTCCTAACGCGGGTTTCGGAAGAAAAATTCAGAACATTGACAGCAAATGTTCAAAAATGCTCTAACTTGTCGAAACATCGCCCCCAGATAATTTTGGACTAGTTTCGAATTTGCCTCACGTAGAGGGACATGCTCGACTCAAGCCTAGAGGAATGACGTCGCCCCCCCCCCCTCACCCGAGGAGCCGCGCTGAACGGCGAGGCCCCTCACAGCGAGATCTTCGTCGAGGCGCCACCCGCGGGGCCCGCCCCCGGCGGCGAGCGGGCGCCCCCGCACTCGCTCGGGTCCGACCGCGCCTCCCGCGGGCTGGGGGCTCCGCTGCGGGCTACGCCGACGACGACGACGACGACAACGATGACGACGACGGCGACGAAGACAACGATGAAGACGACGACAACGACGACGACGACAACAATAACAACAACGACGCCGACGACGACGACAACGACGACAACGACGACGACGACGACCAACGACGACGACGGCGACGACGCCCGTCTTGCCCTGCTGCTGGCCTCGGGGCCCGCGGGCTTCTCCTCGCGGCGCGGTCTGAGGAATGGGCCCACGAGGTATGAGGCCCAAGGATTTTACGTCAGGCTTTTGGGTGGCCCAAAAGGGGGTCCAGCTGAAAGTGGGTGGTGCCATAGATTTGGGGCAATTTGATTGCAAATGTACTGCGCCAGAGAATTGTATTGCATTGTACTGCAAGTAATGCGTTGCACGCGAAAATTCAACAATACGTTCGCGCCCTGGAATGTATCGCACGCCCCAAGTGTCTTGCAACCCCACGAATTTATTGTACTAACTCTATCGCACCACCCCCTTGTCGCTGGAACCCCTCTTTGGGTCAACCCGAAGGTTTTATGTTGCTCCCATCTTACTTAAGGACCACATCCCAGAAACAGTTTCGGGCACCCAGAAAGCATCGAAAAAGTGTCGAACGAGTACCTCTTCGCAAGGCCCGACAAGCGAGAACCCTTCACTTTCGGTACTTTCCCGGTGCTCGAAATTCTTTCGGGTGGTCAAGGCTAAAGTAGGTTGGAACATCAACATTCAGCTTCGCGTCGTGCCGACTTCGGCGTTGGTTCCTAACACCGCGGGGATCGTTCAACCTTGAACGATCGGCCGTTTCCGAAACGTCCAAATCGTTCCACATCGAACGATTCTGAGTCGCCCGCGCCTTCAACGTTGAACGCCGCTGGCGGGGTCGCCGCCGGTCGACACGACGCGATCCTACCGTATTTATGTCGGGGATGTCCTCCTACAGGCGGATTTGGGAGAAAAGATAAACAGATAGCAAAAACCTTTGTAAAAAGAGTCAGACACGGGAGAAAGATCGTCCCCAGACTAGGCTTATGACTAATTACTTTTGAATCGTCCTCTTGTAGAGGGACATGCCCGACTTGAAGATAGATCGGGGGCGAGCCTGGGGGGGCAGCGAGAAGGAGAAGGTCTTCTCAGAAGGCGGCGGGGCTTCTCAGAAGCCCTCGCGCCCTCTGATGCGTCTTCCAAACCATTCCGAGCCTTCTGAAAAAGGCCTTCCTCACCTCGTCTCCCCCTATCGCCCGCCACCGAATCGAACAGGGATCCCGAACCGAACCACGAACTGTTGGGGGCCCCTCGTCCTTGAGGCCCTATCCTTAGGTCGGGCATGTCCTCCTAGAGCCAGATTTGAGATGACAGAACTCTTAAACGTAAAATTTCAAACATAGCGAAACAGAGCCGACACATCGTCCACAAAACACGCTTTAAACTATTATTCAATATTCCTCCCGTATAAGGACACGCCCGACTTGACCCGATCTTAAGCAGGGACCGACCGTCCCGGCATTCCTACAGGCCTACCACGACATGTTCGTAGAACCAAAACATGTTCCGACAGCAAGAGCTGTGTTCTCAGAGCATGAAGCCTATGTGTTGAAACAAGACACTCCCAGCCAGACATGTTCTGAAAACATGCTGCACAAAACCACCAAAGGGTCTTAGAACACTGCATGGTGGGCCTGTAGGCAAGCCAGGACGCTTCGCCACTGCTTGACTATCCCTCATGATGAGCCTGTTTTCCACCACCACCACCACCATAAGTTGGAGGCGGGAAGGAGGTGGAGGACGAGGAGGAGGACGAAGACGAGGAGGAAGAGGAGGAGGATGAGGAGGAGGAGGAGGAGGGGGAGAAGGACCCCCTCCCCTCCAACTTATGGTAGTGGTGGTGGTGGAAAACAGGCACAACACCCCAGGGCCCTGTTTCTGAACCGCCGATCCTCGCCCTCAGCCGGCTGGCCCCGCCTGGGCTGCGGCCGGCGGATCAGGCAGTCCGGCTCCTTGCCCGTCTCCCTTCGGCTCTTGCGCTCATTGCGCCGGCGCTGCGCCCTGCACAGGCGGACGAACATGTCGTCCTCCTGTGCGCAGCAAGCATATGTGAAGGGGCCCCAGGACACACAAATAAATACACACAAATAAACAGATTCCCCATATTTTCCCATATTTTCTGGGTTTCTGTCTTCCCCCCCGCTTCCCATATTTTCCCATATTTTCTGGGGAATCGAGGATTAATTGTGTCTGTGTGTTTCTTTTCCTCCTGAATATGCCCTGCACGCGCTCGGACGTCCATTCCCCGTGCGTGTCTCGGCCTCGTGCAGAAAGCACTCGCGAGATCGCCCAGCATGCCCCTCGAGGGTCCTCGCCGAGGCACGGTGCACACGTCCGAGCGAGGCCAACTATGCTGGCACTTCTTGGGCGTGGCTTAGCGGGGGGGTCACAAATGGGGGGGTCAGAAAAGGTCCCCTTTCGTGCCCCTTTCGGGCCCCTCCAGAGCTCCAGGGGGCTCGTTTAGGTACCGTTTGGGTACCTTTTCGGACCACCCTCGCCGCCCCCGCATTTACGACCCCCCCATTACGCGGCGCCCAAACTTCAGTGCAGCCAGGCCCTCCGGAGAAAGGTGGGGCACCGGCACGCAGCGGCGCCCAGATCGGCGGTGGACAAACCTCCCTTTAGTAAACCTCCCCTTAGAGAAAACGGCCTGGGACCGAAACCGGCGGACCTGGACCCGCAAAGATGACGGCCGCGACGCCCTCTCGCGAACCGAAAACGGCCAGTTCCTTAATCGACGTGTCAGGGTAGGAGGTCTATCCAGCTCCGATCGATGGTCCTCGCCGAGGAATGGTGCACACGTCCGAGCGAGGCCAACTATGCTGTCACTTCAGTGCAGCCAGGCCCTCCGGAAAAAGGTGGGGCACCGGCACACAGCGGCGCCCATGACGTCACAGGGATGCCGTGGCACCCGAGGAAGCCAAAGACATACAAAGGATGCCGAGAACCGAGGCACGCAGGGGTGACATGCTTCAAAAGGCTCATCCTCAACGCCAAATTTAACTGCACTTCCCCTGCATCTCCCAGGGTGCGCTCGTCGTGACCAGGCCCCCGAGGCGGATCCGGCCATCGCGACGAGGTCCCCCCCGCCCACGTGGCCCACAGAGGGCGACAGCGGAAGACGGGTGCCGGTGTTGGCCCGGCGGTTCTTCCCCGCCGACCTCCGCCGCGACCGAGGAGTCTGCGGTGGCTGCTGCTGAGAGTGATGCTCCCGAGGAGTCTGCGGTGGCTGCTGCTGAGAGTGATGCTCCCGAGGACAACGGCCTGAGGTTTCGGTCAGTCTCTGCGGTGCTGATCGACGAAGAGTTGGAGGAGCGATCGGTGGGGTCGGAACTTGGCTTCGGAGGCAGAACGACGGGATCCAGCCACGGGGACCTGCAGTCCAGGAACGTGTTCTTGGTGGTGAGTACCCCTTTGGGCGCCAGACTGAACATGGCGCGCGAACAGGCCATCGTCGGTGTGCAGCGGGAACGGACCAGGCCGCAACCCAGATTGAGCTTCGACGACTCGAACCTCAATTGCTAGAGAAGAGGCATATCAAGGGCAGAGGGACCATGTAGCTTGGACCATGATAACGTGATCGGGCATGTCCAGGGGTGACAAAGCATGGCGGCCCAGCCGCTCTGAAAAAGCTTGCTATCATGCAGACCATGGCGACGAATAGTGACAACACACGCACCCCTAAATGTGATGAACACGCCAATGCCCGGAGGGTTGCGGTACGCCCCTTTGAATGTCCTTTCATTTCTGATGCTGGAAAAGCTTATCCGAAGCCAGCCGCACCCGATCGGCTTTTGGTTAAGGTCCAGCCATGCATTGGAACACGTATCCTCCTGCAGGAGAGGTAGCCTCTAAAGGTTTTTAAAAGCATACCAATCGTGGAAATTGACGGACTAGGGCCCAACCAGTAATGGATAGTAATCTCTCCGCGGCACCCGCCGCGCAACAACGACGACGATGACTACGGGTAGTTAGCGACCACGACGACTTAGCGACCACGACTACGAGTACGACTACGATCGCGACTACGAGATATCGGGAATCAAAACCATGCACATTCCTATTGCCGTCCTCATCGTACGATGCTCACAGATCCTCCCGCATATCGGAGGAGGAGGAGGAGGAGGAGGAGGGGGAGGAGGAGGAGGAGGAGGAGGAGGAGGAGGAGGAGGAGGACGAGGAGGAGGAGGAGGAGGAGGAGGAGGAGGAGGATAGCCCACACTGGATAATTCCCTGGGGGACAAGACCCCACAAACTGATCCAGCCCGCCCAGCAATAGAGGGCAGCGCGACAACGACGAAGACGGCGAGGAGAAAGAGGGGCGAGCTCATTCTCCGCCTAGAGGAACAGGGTGGGAGTAGAACCAAAGACCTTTAAAGGTTACCCTGCCACGTTCGTCACCACTCTCGGCGAAGCTGCGATCAATCAGGCCTAATGGGTACTAGCGTTGAGATGATCGCGCGTTTTCCATACGCAGGCACGGCCATCTCGAAGACCGCTGCCTTCCTGATAATCCCACCGGCCCTTTAGGGCTGAGGTGGTCTAGAGAGATTTCTCTTCCAACCCCCTTCTTCCCCTTGGGGGAGGGTCTTACCCTCTCCCTACCCCCCCCCCCCCTGGACCTGGACGGGGGGTTTCGCGACGCGCTGAAGCGTCCAAGATGGCCCAAGACGGCTCTAAGAGGGCCTCGGAGAGTCCAAGATGGCCTCCAAGATGGCTCCAAATAGGCTCCATGAGGCCTCAAGATCGCTCCAAGACGTGTCCAAGTAGCTGGAGTTCTCCTCCAGAAGGCCGCCAAGAGGCCAACATCCTTCCCAATTGTGTTTTGCTGTCTCGCCTCTTCGCTTTCGATGGCCTTCCGAGGCCTAAGCATGGCTCTTAGATGGCCCAAGAGGGCTCCAAGAGGGGCCCAAGAGGCCTACATAACGGCCCCAAGAGCGCTCCAAGAGGGGTCCTAGAGGCGATTGTTGGGGCATCCGAGCGGGGGTCGTAATTAGAGCTCCCATCTTGATTGATCGATCTCCTCCAAGATGGCCCTAAGAGCGCTCGCAAGGCTCCCAAGAGCACCTCAAGAGGACCCCAAGAGGCGCCCAGCAGGCCCCAATTGGCGCCCAAAAGGCCTCCAAGGGGCTCCCAAGAGACCCCCAAGAGACCCCAAGCGGCTCTCCGAGGCACCCAAGACGCTCCAAGAGGCCCCCGGGCCCGCCAAGGTGCCCCCCTTCAGAGACCCCAAGAGGCTTCCAAAAAGCTTCCAAGCGACATCCGAGAAGACTCTGAGAGGCATTCAATAGGTTTCTGGCTCTTCAGCTCGCCCTTCTCCTCCTCCTCCTCCTCCTTCTTCTCCTCGTCCTCCTCCCTGCTGCCTCCTCCCCCTCCCCCACCTCCTCCCCCTCCTCCTCCTCCTCCTCCTCCTCCTCCTCCTCCTCGTTCTTTTCCACACTCTCCTCCTCCTTCCTCCTCCTCCTCGCCCTCCTCCTCCTCCTCCTCCTCCTCCTCGTCCTTATCCTCCTCCTCTTGCTCTTCCTCCGACGTCTTGCCCAACCTTTCATTTCACTGCATTCGACTCCGCATTCCTGATCGGACTGGCATCGTTTCTGGATGGACCGCTGGGGTTACTTTTTTTGGTTGGCGGCTACGAGGCGACGGTCTAGGAGCGGAAGCGGCGTCCGGGGCGGCGGAACGGTGCGAATTTGCGAACACAGCCGCCAGTGTCGGCAAACCAGCTCGCATTACTACAACAGGCAACACACCTGCCGCTGGGGCGCCTATGATTTTGTATAGACTGTTCCTGTTGCGTTTTGCGGTTGCTGATTCTCTTGGCCCGGATGCTCCAAACTGGGGGGGAGGTGGGGCGTAAAGGTGGTGTGTGGGGAAGAAGTGGGGTGAGAGGAAAGTCGCTCCAAGTGCCCCACACCCCGGAAGAAGGAAGGTGAGCGTGAATTGTGGCTCGTTCCTAAACTCGGCGGCGAGCGAGGGGGGAAACGAGAAGAAAGAGGCCTTCTCAGAAGGCGGCGGCGCTTCTCGGAAATTCTTCAGCATTCTGAACAGTTGCCTGTGTCTCCAGGGGGGGGGCTTATAAAACTACTCTCAGATCGGGCATGTCCTCCTACAGGCGGAATGTTGGGAAACAAATAATTAAGAGTCAAAAAGACTAAAACAAATAACCGAGTGCCCCCGAAAATAAACCATCCCCCCCTTCCCCCCCTCCATCTTGTTATCCCGTGTCATTCGGATTTAAGTGTGAAGAGGGGCACTTAGGCCGAACTTGATAATTCCCGTCTGAAGTTGCGAGTCGAAGTTGCTGCCATCTCATGCTGACTAGCAACAACATCAAAAACGCTGAGCATGGCAATGGTGGTCTCACCATTTCAGCTTCCGCAATCCCGAGCGTGTGGCAGGGCTATGGGGTTCTCACCATTTCAGTTTTACCAAGTCGCGAACGTGCGGCAGGGCCACGAGACTCGAGATCTCTCGAGTCAGTCTTGTGCAAAGATCTACAAAGTCAGTCTACACGAGTGCCCAGAAACATCATCATCATCATCATCATCATCATCATCATCATCATCATCATCATCATCATCACCTTCGCCGGGAAAATCGTTGATTATCTCCGCCAGACCCCCGAACTGTATTAATATCCCCGGGGGATTCATATCGGGAGCTGTGGGGAAAGAAAAACGCCCCTGACGATTGTTGATTCTGTTTGAATATTTCTCGTATTGAGGGACATGCCCGACTTACACCTACCCGGAAGGCCAGGGGGCTTCCAGCCGTCTGAAAGGTTTGATCGGGCTGCTCTCGTCTGCTCCTGCTGAGCTCAATGGCCCCGTGGTGACGAGCGAGCAACACACACCCATACCCAGAGCGGGGTCAAAAGAAGGAGAACTGGCCGTTGGTATGGGTGCAGGCTGTCGGACCGCGAAGGGGGGCTTCCTTTCGAGCGGGGGGGCCCATCCGACAACACGCCCCCGGAACCCCCCTTCTGCCGACCGATATAGTTGGAAGAAGCACAAGCGGCATAAACATAAACTTTTGGCGCTCCGCGCGAATTTCTTGCATACGCGCTGGACCCCCCTCCCTGGCGCGCTCCGCGCGCCAGGGGCGCCGCCAGCGGGGCCCAGCGACGACCCAAGAAATCCGCGCAGAGCGCCAAAAGATTGTGTCCATGGCGTTTTCTCTCTCTCTCTCTCTCTCTTTTAAAACCACCTCCAAACTCTGTTTCAACTATTCTAGAACATTCTTCCTGTAGAGGGACATGCCCGCCTTGGCGCCGGGAGGGGCCCCTCCAAAACGCCGCAGACATCTCAGATCGCAAAGCTCAGCCCATCTCAGAGATCTGGCGGCGCGAACTTCTGGAGACATGGGGCCCCCAGGCCTCGACCCCTCTCCCGGAGCCGGCTTGCTGACGGCCCCCAGGGCCCAGGGCCCCGGTGCCCGAAGCCGGCCTCCCAGAGGGCCAGCGCGGTGAACAGCCGGCCGCCCCGACCTGTGTCGCGCCGCCGGACCGGTGGCAGGGCAGATCCCAGCGCTCGCCGCCGGCCGCTGCCGTTCTCTGCGTGCCGCTTCTGCCGGTTGGTGCTCCCCGGGGGCTGGAGTTGCACGTGCGACGCTACTTCCCAAAGCCCGTGCAGAGGGGGAGGTACCACAACCCGCCAGCTGCCGCACAAAACTGAAGCGTGATGAAAGAAAGCCCAGGTGGGATGAACAAGCCCGAGCGTGAACAAACAACATCACGAGTGGCAAAAGACATCTCGAGTGTGAGTTTGGGCATTGCGTGTTCTTATCGCCGTTCAATCTAGCATCGCTGACACGACATACAACACACACAATTCCGAACGCACGCCCCCACACATGCATACTGTGTATGTACAGATTTAAACAGATAATAAGATACAACACGCGTCTACATTCATATCTATGTGTATAAACATACCGGGACAATTCTCTAAGAGCTGAGAAGGCTTCATATTAGAAGCCGGCAGCGCAGGGTAGGCCAGCTCCTCTCCAAGGCTCCCGGGCAGGCATCCCTGGAGCGGCTTGCTTGAACTTGCAGCGTGTCCCGAGGAGCGTTTCCCTACGCGTTCCCACTACGCGTGCCCGAAACCTTTCCGCAGGTCCACCGGAGCTCATTCGAAGGTCGCTTTTCCAAGCTTCTAAGCTCCCCAAGCATGCTTCCCAACGTCCTGGCAAGCGTCCCCCATAGGCGTTTCCCACGCTTGCAAGCTTCTCACGCATGCTTTCAATCGCCCTTGCCATCGTTCCCCATAAGCGTTTTACGCGCTTTGGATTGTGTCGCTATCCAGGTTCCAGGTTTTGGACTGCACAGGTTAGCACATGTCCAGTGGTGAAACGCCCCACCCCCCAAAAAAACGGGGCCGGCAAGATACGCAGCCCTGGGGGTCCCTGAACGCCCCTGCAAAATGTCCCAAGGGTTTTCCAGGGCTCCCGGAAGCCCCTGCTGGGCCTGGGCAATGGGCGCGATTCGGTCAGCAGGGCGGCCGAACGGCCCCTCGAGGACCCCTAGAGA